GCTATCCGCCGCCTCTTTGGCTTAGCTGTAGCCAGCAGCTGTCACATTGAACCCCTAGAGAGCTCCCTCGTTCACATGTTTGCATGGTCCTACTTTTTTTTTCTTTTTTCACACAACACGTAGCCCCATTTATTCTGGTGACCCAGCAGTCGGCTGCAGTCCGGTTGGTTATTAACTTATTACTAGCAAGCAGGAGAATAAAAAAATAGGGAGGAGAAAGAAAGAGAGATAAATTGAAGTCAGCCGCCCTAAACCCCTACAGTTCAATTATGCTGTTGCCAGCACGCGGTGGGAATCGATCCAAGAATTCTGTGGCGGCCAGTTGCTGGACTCGTTGGGAAAGAAACATCCAAGGCCCCAAGCAGCAAAATGCAGAGGAACCCCCTGAGGCGTCAACCGGCGAAATTGTGACGATGACCGTCCATTTGAGCGGCCCTCACCTTTTTTTTTTTTTGCGGTCCTCCAGACTGCCTGAGGTTACAGCCTCACATGATTCCCTTTTTTTTTTTTTTTCCCACATGTTTTGCTGGACCTGTTTATGGCTGCAGAAGAAGCAGATGGTGATCATCGGTCGAGACGGAAACAGTCGTAAAATACAAATGGGTAGAGCCTGTTCAAATGACTGAAGGCTGTTCATACCGGAAGCCTGTGACTAATGCACTGTGTCGTCGTGAAGTGTGAACGACTTGGGAAGAAAGGGAGTGTTTCTCCTTCAGGGGGCTCAAATCGGGCATCTTTGGTTTGGATTAAGGTGCCTGTGGGCCCTGATTTTTTTTTCTTTTCTTTTCTTTCTTTTTTTTTGGCCCTGAACTTTTTTTAGGAATGGTGGGTCCTTTGTTTCGGGGTAGTTTTGGCGTAGGATGACCAATGTGCTTCACTGTTGCGTGGATGACGTGGGGGGAAGGGGAGTTTTTCTGCCTTAGGGGGCTAAAATCGAGCATGTTTGGGTCGAATTAAGGTGCTTGCGGGCTCTGGTCTTTCTTAGGCGTGGTGGGTCATTCGTTTTGGGGCAGTTTGGCGTAGGACGACCATTTTTTTCTCTCTCATTGCGCACTGTTGTTGCTGCTCTGTTGCTGTTGGGTCAACCGTTGAGCGGTTGCCGTCACTAATGCTTCCACTGCTGCCGCTCCTTGACATAGCCAGAGCTTGTCACAATCATGTGATGGTGGCTTATATGCCCATGGAATGCGGGGCAAGGAGGAAGGAGGGGTACCCGCTCCTACGTACCCCGTTTGGCATTGTCCTTCTTTTAACCTTTTCGCTGTCACACTGCAACTGCACTTAGGCGTTGGCCGCGTTGCTACAGATAGAAAAAAGGTTTCCTGTGGTGAAGAGGTGTGTGGAAAAGCCCCTATGTTTCCGCAATTTTGCACACGCAAACATAATGGCGTGAAGGGACACCAGCCGGAGGCTTACTAGGGGAAGATGCTCATATCATTACTCCCCCTAGTAGACCGACGCTGGTCAAAAAAGACAAAGAAAAAAAAGGATGAAGGGCCATGGCATAACAACTGTATAGGCCAATCAAAGTGTCCCATCTCCACGTCTATCCTTAGGCACACTAACTTCCGAAAGCCGAACTGTGGTGGGCTTGGTATCCCGCCTGCACGATCCCGACTGCTCCCGAAAGCCGAACTGTCCTGCACGATCCCGACTGCTCCTCGACAGTGAGCTGCACACATTGGCTGTAGTTGCATGCCTACCATCATCGCCCAAATATGATGCCCGGTCATTATCGCGCTGTAACTAGACCGAAAGTTGCCCCAACTACAGCTATAATGTCCGGCCATTGTTTTCGGGTGAAGATGGTACAGTGTATGGCACATCATCTGTACACAATCTGAGACGATGAAAAATCGCTAACCGTTATGTTCGCACATGATGGTACATAGTGACAAGGTGCCATTGAGAGCTCCCTGCCACCACCCAATCCCTGGATTCCTTGGTCTGTCACAATACCAATCGCAGTAGATTGTGTACCCATGACCTGATGGGCATGGGGGAGGGAGAGGGGAGGAGGGATGTGGTGCAGGCTCCTTGACCATTGTCCTTGTGTTTGTTGTTTTCATTCTCAGACGACAATCACCCTTCTGCATTGTTAGCGGATAGAAGAACTGTCGCGTGTGATGAAGAGATGGGAACGGAGCTTGTGATTGCAGAGCATTTGTTGTCCTCTTCTCCATCTTTGTCCACGGTTTACGCGACAGTTCTCTGTGATGATTGTGCCGCTAGCGCCAGCAATGTGTCTGGAGTGTATTTACTGGCGGTGACAGACCTTCCTTGTTTCGGCGGGGTTTTGATGGCGTATGATGGGGTGTCAACCTGCAGTCTGTAGGGTTTTCCGTCTCGTGTGCCTGGGTGATATAGTCTGCTTTAACTTTCGTCGTTCTTTCTCTGTAGAGAGAGAATAGCGGGCTTGTCCACTGCATTTGCGATATGATTCTACACCTGTTTGGCGTACAGTTTAGTAATCCGTAAGAAGATTTAGATTTCAGTGTGTGCAGGGTCAGTCTTTGATGCTTCATCACAAGTGGGGTTAAGGTGGATTATCACTTTTAGTATAACTGGTTAGCGGACTCTGCAGACTGTACAGGTTTCAGCCTCCTGATGAGTTGGTGAAGCTCTGACGAAACACTCTGTCCCACCCCCTCGTTTGTTATCCTCTTCTCCCTCTCTGTCTATGGTTCACTGGCCAGTTTACCATGCCGATACGTAATGTCTGTGTGTGGATTGTAATCAGTTATGGGACTCTAGAGACTGTAGAGGGTTCCACCTCCTGACGCGTCGGTGAAACTCCGAGGAAACAGTTTGTCAAAGCCCCTCGATTCTTGTCCTCTTCTCCCCCCCTCTCTGCCTATGGTATATATATACACTAGGCTACCAACCGGGCCGCCCCGGTCACCCTATTTTCCCGGACGGCCCATCCGTGCAAGAATCCGAAAAAAAAGTTAAAAACCTATGTTACGAAGGAGCATAAACTGAACAACTTTTGCCTCAGGGTAACATCGAAATTCCTTACCAAATTTAGAATAAAAAATAAAGTAAAAAAAGCAAATTATTTATTTATTTTTTTATTTTTTTTGGCCCGGCTGGGCAAGTGGCCTTGGGCCACTCTGTTAGCCAAGTATATATAGATATATATATCTCCCCCTCTGCCTACGGTTTACCGGGCAGCTCTGTTTGACTATATATATATACAAGTGGAACCCGCCACGGCCACGCCGTGGCGCACAGCAACACTCGCTGATGGCGTCTCATTTTTCTTTCATGTCTCTCTCTCTCTCTCTCTCTCTCTCTCTCTCTCTCTCTCTCTCTCTCTCTCTCTC